ACGAAAGGAGGCAGCGGGACTTGGTCGTCGAGTGTCTGGAGCTAAAATCGCACACTTGACTTCCCGAAACACCGGTCAAACTGACCATCGCCTTCTTCCTTTTCCCGAACAGCTAGGAGAGCGCTGTTTGATAGTTTGGTTACCACGAACCAGGGGAACAATCGCTACTATGAGCCAGAGGGATCCATTCATGAATTTGTTCAGTTTCGTGACTTGACAAAATAGACCGACCGCACAGCCTAAACACATGGAACTGTTTCTGGACAGGAGCCTCATGTGCGGTCGGTCAAATGGGACTTCCATGAAATTCGAAAACCCCTGAACCGATCTGGGTGATTTTTGGATATGTTGGTCACCCAGATCGGGGCTATCAGGGGATGTGACATTTGTGGTGATCCTGTATGTTTTGGGGTGTTTTTCAAGTTTTGTGAAAATTATGTTCCCTTTGCCAAGAGATAATTAAGTTATTACTTTATCTGACCCAATTATCTCCAGGCAGAGAGGAGGGAATTAACTGTTTGTACTGGGAGTGTCACTATTTGTCCCTGTATTGTCATTGGTTGTAATAAGTTGTGTCCCTGTTTTCCATCAGGTCCAGTGGGTGTTCCTCTGGCCTGGAAAATCGCACAAAAGTCAGTGTGGCACAATAAAATTTAATTCCTGTTACACCCTTCATCATGTTTCGGCTGATGTTTGGGTACCTGATTACTGCTTTGGGAAATTCTGCTTGGAACGCTGCATCTACTCTGGAGTAAGAGACGAATGGAAACCCGAACGGGGTAAAAGCGTTTGGGTAAAAAGCTACCACTTCAGGGTTCGTTACAGGTTGTTTGCAGCCATTAACTCACTCCAACTGTGGTCTGACAGGCAAATCTGTCTGGAAATTAATATAAACCCTCTTCTTGTACTGCAGATGTCAATTCTCTTGGCTCTCATGGTTTTACAGGGTCAAGGAATGGTGAGGTGAGCTTTTTTCACTTTTTGCTACCATGGGATTTATTTTCATTTTTTTCTGAGATGTTTTTCTTTTGAATATTATATAATAATTATTCATTTTTGTAAGAATGTTATTTACTCTGTGGTTCCACCTAAGCTATTTTTACTGTGCATATATATATATATAGACTGAGCATCTTCTGTCACCATATGTCAGGACACTGTTTAGGAGATGAAGCCCAATAAGCAGAAAATGCCGTAACTCGATCAGGAATGCAGTACAAAAGGGTCAGAAAAATGGTCAGGAAAGCCCAAGGTCTGGACAGGCGGCCCGGGATCATAGTCAGGACTCAAGCAGGAATCAAATATCAGGGACTCAAACAGGACAGGCACTGAAGGTATTAATGCAACAGGAGCACAGTATAACTGAGCAAAGAGTCAAAGGTTAGGGGAGTTTAAATAGGAAGAGGGGGCATGTCACTTAATGTAGCTCCTCCTTCATTCACACCCCCTTCTCTGGTTTCTGCATTCTGTATCTTTAAGAGACCCGAGTTGTGCTCGGGAATCAGCAGTGTCTGGAGGAAGGGAAGAGGCTGGTTTATTACTGGTGATGGTGATGGTGATCTGGAAGCAGCCATCACTTCTAATACACTGCTCTGGCCACTTTTGTGCATCCTTTGCAATGCCATAATTTCATTTTTATTTTAAATATGTGTTTTGGCAATGCAGTCAATGTTCCCTTATGGTTCTAGCACTTAATGCATGTGCTCTGCATCATTAAACAGTTCAAGACTAGAAGGAACCTTTAATGTAGACTGTACCATCATGAGGCGTAGTCCAAAACTCATCCCCAACATACCCACAGACCACCAGAGATTAATAATCCCCACTGGTTCATGAGGGATCACTTGTTAACCTTACTTGGATCAAAGCCTCCTCCCACATAAGCCCTACCATATGTTCAGGCTCCCACCTTAGCGATACACAGTGAAAGTGCAATTTGTGTGAAAAACTTATTATTATTAAAAAATATATTTTACCAGGAAGGATACATTGACATTTCTCTCCTTTTCAAGTATGTTCTGGGTCCACAAAACATTGCATTGATACAATAGGGTACAATAAAATACAAAAGCAATATTTACAAAACTTAACATAGAACAGGTAAGAAATATATAATCAACCATGACAGGTGCATTCTGTTTTGAGATATGTAAAGAGGGATCTCTTAAAGGATTTTAGGCCTGGGGAAGATTTGAAAGTGTGTGGGAGGGTGTTCCATAACTGCGGAGCTTTGTAGAAAAAGGAGGATTGAGCCGCTTTCTTTTTGTATTGAGGTAGACTAAATAAAGTGCTGGTACTAGATCGGAGGCTATAGGAGGTGGGAATGGCCAGGGAGAGCTTTCTGCTCAGGTAGGGTGGGAGCATCCCAGAAAAGCTCTTAAACACAAGGTTGGAAAGATGAAGGGTGCGTCTGGATTCCAGCGACAGCCAGTTTAGTTATTTTAGCATGTCACAATGGTGAGTCATGTAATTACATTGTAGCACAAAGCGACAGAACGAGTTATACAATGTATTGAGTTTTTTAAGGTGGATTTGTGGTGCATCCCCTTAATCAATGATTGGCTGATGTTTGAGCATTTGCTCTACAATCTTTTCCTTTACTGTAGGGCTTAGGCAGGATTTGTTTCTGTACAGGGCACCTAGTTTCGGATAAAGTTTAGATGCAAGTTTTTCTATGTGGAGGCCAAAAGATAGATTGGGGTCTAACATCATACCCAAGTATTTGAAAGAGTGGACTGCGGTCAGTGTGCTATTTGATTTTGTTTGGATGCATAGATGGGAATTTTGTAATTTGTGTAATTTAGGTACTGTTCCAAAGATCATTGTGACTGTTTGTCAGTGTTTAGGGAGAGTTTGTTTTTTGAAATCCACTTTCTACCTCTGTGAACTGGTCTTGGAGCACAGCCACAAGCTGCAGTAGATCGGATTTGCTGGCAGAAATTACTGTGTCGTCTGCGTACATGTGTACATGTTTACATTTTAGCTTAGTGGGCCCAGTAAGCTAAATGGCTGTACTCTTCCTCCTCTAAATTTATATCAATTTAAACTAAACTAAAGTATTATTCAAAAATTATTGACTTAAATAAAAAATAAAAAATAAAAAAAATATTTAGAAAAACCTAGACAAATATAGCAAGCAGAGAAGGCAGGTACAGGCAATGCCAGCCATGCACTCTGTGGCAAACTCACCCAATCAGCAGCACAGTCGTACACAACACACAGAAAGCATAGAAAAAAAATGTGTCCGTAGAAGTCTCTAGGTTGATGTGAGAAATTGCAGGCTCACCAGTCTCACAGATAAAATCAATGAATGGCAATAAGGCCAGTGTATCACCATCAAAGCTCAGTCAAAGAAGGATGGAAAATACCCTGCTTGATTATAAGCTGTTTCCTCAATAATTTTTTTTTTTTAAAACACCAGGATGCATTGGCGGATCCAGGGGGGGAGACAACGGGGCAATTGCCCCCACCCTGAGATTCTCCCCTGCCGGCTGATGCAGGGCTGGCATTGTCGAAGTGCCAGCCCTGTAATATGCCTGCGGACCGGGGAGGGTGATCAGAGAGGATCTGGGAGCTCAGCCTACTCTCGCCAGCATGGAGCATGCTGCGGTTACCACGGAAATCTCGCTAGGGGCTAGAGTTCACTCTAAACACTGGGACCACAAGGGACTCCCCACGGACCACCAGGGATGGAGAAATGTCCCCCCTCCTCCTCAATAAAGGTAAGAAGGGAGGGGGGACATAATGAATATTTTTTTTTATTTTTTTTAAATTATGAAAAAGCCCCCCTACCCTCCTCACCACACATTCACACACAGCCATCCATAAACACACTGCCCCCCACACACACGTTGCCCCCCACACATTGCCCTTGCCACACACATTGACCCCCACACACACACACTGCCCCTCATACACACACACTGCCCCATACACACATTGCCCCACACACACACACACTGCCCCCATACACACATTGCCCCCCACACACATACACTGCCCCCATACACACACAGCCCCCATACACACATTGCCCGCCACACACACAGCCCACACACATATTGCCCCAAACAGACATAGCCCCACACACACATACACTGCCCCATACACACACAATACCCCCCACACACAGCCCCCATTTATACACTGCCCCCACACACACATAAACTGCCCACACACACACATACACTGCCCCACACACACACACTGCCCCCACACACACCATACATACATACACTGCTCCACACACACCATACACATTCACACACTGCACCCCCATACACACATTGCCTCACACACACACACACACATACTTAGCCCCCCATACACACATTGCCCCACACACCCTACACATTCACACACTGCATCACTCACACCCCTGCTCGTATGCCTTACTACAGCCACATATCCCAGCAGACCTTAGGTAAGTTGTCAAACTGTTCTTAAACGTTTTTACTACTTACTCTGGGAGGGGGTCCCGGCACTCCTGGCACCATAACCACTACATGGAGCTGTAGTAGTTATTGTGTCTGGATTATTTCTTTAAATAATCTACAAGTGCCTCTCCCGAGATCAGGCTCTGGATCCGCCACTGATTGGATGAGACCCTCCTGCATCATGTCACTGGAGTGAGCAGGTTGGACAAATGAAAATAAGCTCACTCCCATGTACTCACTTGATCTGTGACTAAAATGAACATTTAGGGCTGTCCATTTAACCATCAGTCCTATTTTTCCCCCCACATTTTAGGTCAGATCTCTTATCTATCATGGCAAACTAAATTGCTTCCTGTCTCTTCCTTAAAAAAAAAAACACAAAAAAAACCCTCCACTCTTTCCCCCATTTTTGGCACAGAACTAGTAATCCTAAAGCATCCAAACATATTCAGGCATCATGTCGATACTTGCTTGGTTTTTCATTCGAATGTTATGGAACTTTAGATGTATATCTGAATTGCCCAAATTCAAGAGGAATCTCTATTCAAGTCTAGTTATTATAGCTCACTGTTTTGTATTCCCCTTTTTTAGCACTACACTGTTTTGTGCGATAAAGCATCCCCTTATTTCCTCTTTTATGAGAGGTTTTGTCATCAGTCTATTGTTCCCTTGTCTCATTGTGCTTGTACAGTAATATGTGCCAGATTCTTCATTTCTCATGTTGGTAATTTGTACATAAATCTCATTTTTTGCGGTGTCTCTGGTGAAAGTGGCTCGACTGCTAAAAGAAGAAGCAGGCTCTGAGCCCCCGGCACTGCTAATACGACCGATATATTCCAGTCCCTTTCCTGGAAGCTGTCTGATCCAGTACCAGTGATAACTAGTAACAGCCACTGAAACTTTACAAGGCAGTTTCAAACCCTCTGAGGGTTTCACAACTGTAGATTCAGGTTGATCCAGGGTAACTGCTTGTGAAAGGACAGCTGAAAGATAAACATGTTTAAAATCAATGAAAGCCTAAATAACTAAATATATATTTTTCACAATAATGTACAATATAACCAAGTCCCTTACAAGATCCAGATATCAGAAGAAGGAGCACAATGCAGAAAGACCTCATTGTATTCAGTGGAAAGTAAGTGCAGACAGTACACAGTATCTGCTGTTTCATATCACTGAGCTCAGTCTGTGACAAACACAGTTTATAACAGGATGCAGAGACTCAAATTTGCATGAAGATCTCTATAAAAGCAAGAGAGGCTAAGGCTTGGTTTTTCATACAGTAAGTGACACATTGAAGCATAAAACATGATAGTAGATAGTAGTAGATAGTAGCGATAGAAGTGAATGTAGTAGATAAAACAGAATAAAAAAGGACTGAATTCTTTCAGAAATACAAATTGTATGAAAAATATTTAGAAATAACTAGAGTATATTTGTTGATGGAATTAGCAGGGACTAGTTGGGGGATAAATAAAAAAAAAGAATTGTAACAAAAATAAAAAATAAAAACATAAAACATCTAAAAACAAATGCCTAGAAAATATGATACAGTATATTAATATTGGTATCTTTATGTTAAATAGGAATAGCAATGATTGAAAAATAAATATCTTGCAAATATGAGATACAATATAGTAAAAACAGCTTATTTATCTAACTCCTAAGGACGGCAGGCATACTATGCCGACCTTAAAGGGCAGAGGATGGAAGAGTATGCCCAGCTGTCCTCCCGCCATCTTACCGCCCTAAACTTACCTGGACTGGTGATCTGCAGTGATCCCGGTCAGGGGGGGACTGCCTGAGAGCTCAGCAGCCCCCCTGCAGCATGATCACATGGGCCGCAATAGGAGTCTATGGAGCTGCCTGCAGGGGGACTGTCTGAGCTGTCAGGCAGCCCCCCAGTCTACTAAAATTTTTTTAAAAAGTTAACATAAAGGATCAAATAAATATATTACACATATATTACATATGTGTAATATATTATAAAATAATACAAGCATTTTATAATATACATACATAATACATATCTAGGATTTCATTATAAGTGTACTTTGATATATGTACATATATATAATATAAAAAATTATATATATATATATATATATATATATAAAAATTTACATATATGTTTATCTATTCACTTTACAAAATTATTTGATTTGATTAATTATAATTTGATGGACCTGCCTGACAACCTAGGCAGACAGGCAGACAGTCCAGATAATTTAATTGGCAAGCCCTATATTTAACCCTGTAACGTTCCAAAACTCCATGTAACCTTTACATTGGGGGATACTGTTATATACGGGTGACTTCGCTGAATACAAATATGAGTGTTTAAAACCATAAAATGTATCATGGTAAAATGCATGATATCCACAATGGAAATGCAGCTTTTGTGTGAAAAATGCAAAAAAACAAATATAAACGCTAATTTTGGCCATCATTTGTGACTAAGTGGTTACTATAAAAGACTGGACCTACTCCGTTTTGAATACCTTGGGTTGTCTACATTTTCAAATGGTATGCCATGATGGGGTTAATTTCCATTTCTGGGCTGCCATACCCAGGGCCGTCTTTAACGCGGGGCAAACGGGGCAGCTGCCCCGGGCCCAGTTTCTCTTGGGGGGCCCGAGGCACCTGCCCCGTGGGCCCCGGCGGGCGGGTGGCCGGTCGGGCAGGAATGCGGGCGCGCGAGGGAGCACTCACTGCTTCCTCTTCAGCTCCCTCGCGCGCCGCACTGATGCCGGCACCGGAAGATGACGTCATCTTCCGGCGCCGGCATCACTACGCGGCGCGCGAGGGAGCTGAAGAGGAAGCAGTGAGTGCTCCCTCGCGCGCCCGCATTCCTGCCCGACCGGCCACCCGCCCTGGAGCCCAGCAGCACCACTGTACCCCAGGGAATCCCCCCAGCACTCCAAAAGGTAAGGAGGCTGGGGGGATTACATTTAAAAAAAAAAGTGTGTGTTAGTGTATGTGTTTGTGTGTTAGTGTGTGTGTTTGTGTATGTGTGTGTTTGTGTGTTAGTGTATGTGTGTGTTAGTGTATGTGTGTGTTAGTGTATGTGTGTGTTTGTGTGTGTTTGTGTGTATGTGTGTGTTTGTGTGTATGTGTGTGTTAGTGTATGTGTGTGTTAGTGTGTGTTTGTGTGTGTTTGTGTGTGTTTGTGTATGTGTTTGTATGTGTTTTAGTGTATGTGTTTGTGTATGTATGTGTTTGTGTATGTATGTGTGTGTTTATGTGTTAGTGTATGTGTGTTAGTGTGTGTGTTTGTGTATTAGTGTGTGTGTATGTGTGTTAGTGTTAGTGTGAGTGTGTTTGTGTGTTAGTGTGTGTGTTTGTGTGTTAGTGTGTCTGTGTGTGTGTCAGCAGGGCCGGCCTTAGGGGTGTGCGAGCTGTGCGGCCGCACAGGGCGCCATGGCAGCAGGGGGCGCCCTATGGCTGACAGCTTGCACACCCCCTGCCCTCTACCAGGGCTTAGCAGCAAAAGAGACTGTAGGAGGCGGAGCCAAGCAGCCGATGGGGGCGGAGCCAAGTGGTCGGCGGGGGCGGAGCTAACCGAGGCCTGAATCTGCTGCCTGGTAAGTGAGACCATAGTGCCCCTGCTCCCCCTATAGTACCCCTGTTCCCCATCTATCCCTATAGTGCCCCCCTCTTCCCCTATAGTAATCCTGTTCCCCATCTATCCTATAGTGCCCCCCCCTCTACCCCTATAGTAACCCTGTTCCCCATCTATCCCTATAGTGCCCCCCTCTTCCCCTATAGTGCACCCTCTACCCCTATAGTACCCCTGTTCCCCATCTATCCCTATAGTGCCCCCCTCTACCCCTATAGTGCCCCCTCTACTCCTATAGTGCCCCCTCTACTCCTATAGTACCCATGTTCCCCATCTATCTCTATAGTTCCCCCTATCTACCTCTATAGTGCCCCTGCTCCTCGATCTACCACTATAGCACCCCTGCTCCCCATCTACCCCTATAGTGCTTCCCCATTTACCCCTATAGTGTACCTGATCCCTCCATCTACCCCTATAGTGCCCATGCTCCTTATCCATCCCTATTGTGCCCATGCTCCCCCTATATTGCCATTGTTCCCTGTCTACCCTAGTGACACTGCTCCCCTTATCTACTGCTATAGTGCATTGCTCCCACATCTACCCCAGTGCCCCTGCTCCCCCTATCTACTGCTATAGTGAACAAAAATCACACACGGTCAATACACACACATATCAGACACAGTCAATACACCCATTACAAATATGGCACACAGAGAACACATCACACAATCACGTCTGACACACACATGATAAATGTAGCTGTCTTCCGAGTTCCGGCCAATCAGAACGTTGCCGCGGATTACCACAGGAAAGCTCTGATACTGTAAGTGCCTGAGCTCAGGAGACAGTTGCTGATGGTCTGCACCCAGTGAAGGCACCGACCATATTCCCAGCAAACTGTATCACCAGAGATCAGCATGCCCTCCCTCCATGCAAGGTAATGACAGGGAAGAGGTGATAAATATTTGTTAATTGTTAAATTTTAAAATCCCCTATACACATGGATGGCGCGGGGGGGGGGCGCTCTTAAGATTTTTCGCACAGGGCGCCTGAAGGCCTAAGGCCGGCCCTGTGTGTCAGCATGTCTGTGTGTGTGTCAGCATGTCTGTGTGTCAGTATATATGTGTGTGTATATCTGTGTGTGTCAGTATGTGTGTGTGTCAGTATGTCTGTCTGTGTGTCAGTATATATGTGTGTGTATATCTGTCTGTGTGCCAGTATGTCTGTGTGTGTGTGTGTCAGTATATCAGTCTGTGTGTGTCAGTGTATGTGCCTGTGTGTGGGTGTCAGTATTTCTGTCAGTGTATGTGTGTCAGTATGTTGATCAGTGTATGTGTCTGTGTGTGTGTGTCAGTATGTCGGTATATATGTCTGTGTGTCAGTATGTCTGTATATGTGCCTGTGTCAGTATGTCTGTCAGTACGTCTACCAGTGTATGTGTCTGTGTGTGTGTCAATATATGTACCTGTGTCAGTGTGTCTGTCAGTGTATGTGCCTGTTTATCTGTATGTAGTCAGTGTATGTATCTGTGTATCTGCTTGTGCGTCAGAGTGTGTACCTGTGCATCTGAGCCGCAACTTTAAATACAAATACACCCCTCCATTCAAACTTCAACACTACATATAAAACACACTCCTGCATTGAAACGTCAACACTACATACAAGCACACTCCTACATTCAAAAACAAACACTACACATAAATGCACACTTGCATTCAAACTCCAGTACCACATACAAACACATTCACACAAACATACTCCATACAAACACATGCTTACATTCAAACATACTAACATGGCTCAGTGCTAAATACAACCCTGCAAGCATGGGAAATTGGTAGAGTCCCAGCTGTCAAAGCATTGTTGGAGTTGCACAACAGATGGGGTTCTACCTTTAGTCCAACCTTGCAATTGGGGGTCCCAATAAAATTCATTCTACTTTAGTACCGCCACTGCGTTGGGATGGATGCCGTGATTGCATACCAGGGAGTGAGGGGCGAGAGCGGCAGGGCACAGGGGGCCCAAGCAAACACTTGCCCAGGGTCCATTCATTATTAAAGACGGCCCTGGCCATACCGTCTCAAAGGAAACATAGGCCCAGCAAACCAATCTGGTAAATTTCAATGTGCAAACATGGAAAAGGGGAAAGCCCTACATTTGACCCCTGTAAGTTTTAAAAAAATACATAAAACCTATACATAGGGGGTACTGTTATACTCGTGAGACATTCCTAAATACAAATATGTGTATTTTATTGCAGTAAAATCCAACAGTGTTGTAACATTTACAGTTAAAATGTGATGCAGAACTTGGAAAAATAACTGCATTTCTCAATTTCTCACACTTTTTTAGATTTTATTCATATTAAATTATGTTTCATATATAAATATTTGATATGAAATGAAAGCCCTTTTTCTCCTGTACAAAATGATATATAATAGGTGCATAGGCATGCGCAGCCTATTGCATTAGGGTGTGCACCCTAAAGCACAAACTCATGCCGTGTGTGTGTGTATGTATGTATATATATTTATATATATATATATATATATATATATATATATATGTATATATATATACACCCTGTTCCAAATTATTATGCAAATTCTA